AAAACAACAACAAGAATGACCCTACTAAATTCGCTTCGATGAATTTCGTTACGATATTCAACAATTCAATACCATCAGGTGCCTTTTCCTCTGGGATTTTCTTATTCGGCTGTTCGGACTTGTTCTACAATTTATGCCAAAATTTGCCAGAATTTTGTGGAATATTGGTTGTTCAGACTTGTTCTACGATTTTGAAGAATTAGCCAAAATTTTGACTGGTTATGAATATCCGCATTCACACTTTTTTGGGACTCAATAGTGACCAAATACAAATCAGATGTGCCTGATGAAATGATTCGCCGCACTAGGACTCGATCCTGAAACGCCAATCTATGTTGTGTTTCAGTATGGCGGCGGTCGAGGATGTCAACAGATTACTCCTAGTGCAGCCAATCACAAGTCACCATCACAACTTCATTTACTGAGAAAAAGTAACGAAATGATCCGAACTTCCATTTTCTTAAAAATAGTCTGCACGTATCGATCTGGAAGGAGGATCGCCTCCCTCTCCCTGTCGATCCCACCTTCAGGAGGGTCAATGTTAAACTGCCCCAACTGTTAAATACGCCCGACTTCCCCTCGATCGCAGCCCCGGGGGGGTAGGGAAGGGGGCGAAGGGTTGCATTGATTGGGAGAGGTGGATTGCTGACTGGGGGGGCGCAGGAAGGAAGTGGGGGCACGGGGGGGGAAGAGGGGGTCGGGGAAGGAGAGGGGTAGGGTGGGGGGGTTCAATGGGGTATCTAATGATTCTCAGGGAAGGAGAGGGGTAGGGTGGGGGGGTTCAATGGGGTATCTAATGATTCTCATCATACCGTTGTCACTTCCTTGTCAAACCCATTTCCCACTTTGAGAGCGCCAACTGCCTCCGCGAGTTTCTTGGAAAACGTGTCATAAACTCCTGATAGAAAGATTATTCGAAGAAGAAGAAGAAGAAGACCACAACACACGAGCACAAGCAACCGAAAGAAAACGAGCTGTTATCTTCAACCAGAAACCAAAAAAAGAAAGAAAAGCAGCATAGGAATTGAGCAAAAAAAAAAAAAAAAAAAGACAAGAGAGGAAAGCCCAATATGATAACCAACGACTTGTGGATCCAAAACACACGAGCACAAGCAACCGAAAGAAAACGAGCCGTTATCTTCAACCAGAAACCAAAAAAAGAAAGAAAAGCAGCATAGGAATTGAGCAAAAAAAAAAAAAAAAAACGACAAAGGAGGAAAGCCCAATATGATAACCAACGACTTGTGGAACGAAACATCTGTCACAAGTAGTAGCACCCTTTTTTTTGGGAAAAGGGGCCTGTAAATTGTGCAATGAAACCTCTGTGACAGGTAGTAGCATGCCTTTTTCTTGGGGAATGAGTAAAAGTCACGACCAACACAAGTCGTAGACGACACGCTCAGGCACATCACGTAATCGCCATAGACGACAAAGAGTATGCACCAAACATTCTCGAAGAGATCTCATACGATAAAACAATGAAAGGCAAGAAATCAAAGTGTCAGGCTATGGCCGCCATCTGGCGATCATCTCCACGACTCCTCCCTCGCCGAAGGAAAAGACATGGAAGACCCGGAAGCCTGGCGAAGGGACTGGCGTTCCCTACAAGTTTCAGCCGCTGCGAGTAAGCGGCCTCATCAGGGGCCAACTTCGAGATGCTTAAATTAGTAACATCCTAATCTTTACATTCGACGATTTTGCATCCGGCCTCGTTCCCAATCCTTCTAGACGGCCCGGTAGTACACAGACCTATCTGACCCAAGTTTGTCAGACGTTCTCCCGGTCCTAGGTCCTGTCCAGGTTCAACCCCCCCGATATTTTGAGCCTCCAACCGGTCCCGTACTCGAGATCAACCCGAAAGTCTGCTCACTCTCCCGACCATGATGTCCCATTTCGTCAAATATCCTACTCTGTCTGCTATCCCATTCATACTACTCGTCTAGTCCCTTACCACTACTCAATTCGTTTTTTTTTCCTTTTACCGCAACAGTAAACATTCATTACAGGCTGGGAAATGGCCCCAGCGTCCCTCACATAAACAGCTATGTGTCTTTCGGGACATCCGTTAAAATTGGAATGATACAGAGAAGATTAATTAGCATGGCCCCTGCGCAAGGACAACACACATAAATCGACAAATGCTGTAATTATTTACTGAAAAAAAAAAAAACCAGCCACGGCCAGCAGGGATGAGCCGGGCTCACTGGCCAGGCTTAACCCCACCGTAGCGATAAAAGGTCAGCACCGTCTCCATCTGCAATGAATAGCACAAATCCTCTACCTCACTACCATCACTCCCACAGTCCCAGAGAATTCTGACACACCCACTCTTAAGCAGAGAGCAACCATCCTGAGAGCAAAATCAACCCACACTCCCACTTAGGGTTTAGGGTTTAGGGTTTACCGCCTACTCATTCTTTCATTACCTCTTTCATTACCTCTTTCATTACCTTCAGATCCCTACTTCAAACCCGCTTCCCGTAACTCATTTGTTCCCCCAAATTGGCAGTTACTGTACCGTTCCGGGTGCACAACACCATGATCCCCAGCTACACTACCAACCACAAAACCTTCATCACACCCATTTCTCACACGATGGCACATTCTTTTGCGCAGATTTCCACAAGCACTTGTTGAAAATCCAGCCCATTCCCCCCCTCCAAAAAAAAAAACACAAAAAAAAAAATCCAGCCCGGATATCCTTGCAGTCGAAGCTGCCTTTTCACGCTAAGTAAACTCAGACCGATTAATTCCTCAGCGGACATAATTCTAGGAATCCTCTACGGAACGCTTGTAATCACTGCCTCTTTTGCCTCACAGTGGAATACGACTCTAAATCCTGGAAAGTACGAGAGAAGAAACCCTCCTTGCTCCACACACAATCAGAATTGTTTGGAAAGCAATAGTATCTTGCCATGCTGGCACCGATCTCCACTCTGGTGCCCAGAACATCCCATTTGCCATCGTGTCTCCAAGTCCATCATCAGAGGAAGCCTGCTTGGGATCGCACCAGCGATTCCATAAACGGCATTCTACATTTCCTCCTACTCGAGAAACCTGCTTTATGAGGGTTAAGGCACAAGGACATCCTTCCAGCTATCGGCCACACCGACCTTTTTTTATCACGCCCGCCTGCGCCGTCTTTTTCGGATGGCATCTGGCGGGCGACAAATCTCTTTTCGGCAAGGCTGGGGCCATGTACTAGCGGTCCAAGCACCCTGAACACATGCAACAACGTCTCTTAGCTAGCTCCATTTTCAACGACTTACCAAAGGCGCGTTCTGTGAGAAGAGCACCAATGGGTGCGTTGTTAAAAAAAAAAAAAAAAAAAAAAAAAAAAAAAAAAAAAAAAAAAAAAAAAAAAAAAAAAAAAAAAAAAAAGAGTATAATGTCCGTAAAACCTCCACGTTACTACCAAGGTCCAGTTGGGTGCAAACTTTATGACCGGAAAAGAGAACGGTTACCCGAAATGGATTTTTTTTTTTTGACTTTGTTGTGAAGGGTGGGAAAACACTTTGCAACACCCATGACCGAATACATTTCAGCACCCATAACTGAAAAGAAAACCTTTTGCTCCATGTCTAACTTACCAAGGTAGGTACATTTCTCTCTGAGCACAATGCCCTTTACCGCCACCTTAATATCAAGGCACATTTCATGCGAGCTTGATGACTCGGACGGGATGAGATTCAGCATGAATGAAATTTTGAGTTCGTGAGGCGCGGCGAAAGACACGACCGAATGACCAAGATTGAAGAGAGACCAAACACAGTTTTATTTCTCCATTCAATTGTGCCACCTGGGGCTAGGTCCCACTAGCAGCGTACAGTTTCCTCAATTCCCGAATCTGGACATGTTTGTGGAGCTGTGCAGAGAACAATGTTGAGTTTCTTCAACATCACCTGTCCACAAACACGTCCAGATTCGGGCATTGAGAAAACTCTACGGATGGCCGGGGATCACTTGTGAGCAAATGCACTCGAGAATTGGGGTGTGAACATGAGGAAAACGTGCGCATCACGTCCGACATGCCGGATGGAAGTACGGAAGACTTGGGACAAAAAGTCACAAAATGTTTAGGAGATAATGTCGTAACCTTGCAGTGGCTGGGGGCAGATCGATCACAATGCCAACTTACCATCGTGGACGAGGACCCGGTTTGGAGAGATGCACACTTGTCCATTATTCCAGAATTTTGCAGCTATCTGTCGCAATAACACAAGGACCGTCAATAACTGTTCAGATCCTTCGGAGCAGAAAGGCAGAAAGATGAACAGGGACTGCTAAAAAAACATGGCCAAAAAAGGAGATACCTGCTGGTCCATGCTGGATACTTTCGCAAGATAGTATATGCACAAAAACCCGAAGAGACATTCCTACCAATGCACACGAAGTGTCACAAACACACACAAGCGAGCCTCCACACGCAAGAGAGAGAGAGAGAGAGAGAGAGAGAGAGAGAGAGAGAGATCCAAATGGGATGATGGCCATCTGGAAGGGCAAGAAAAAGTCAAAACGTGATGCTGCACAGGGTTGTCCTGCTCGGCGTGACAAAAACTGGGCTAATCCTCCTTTTCTTTCTGTACTTATATTCTGATTCAGAAGTAAAAAACATGCATGCACTCCATGTCTTTTGACAAGAAACAGGTTCAAGTTCGCAGTTACAATTGGAATCGACAGAACGCACGGGGATGTAGGATCATCTAGCTCCGCACCTGAAAATGTCCATACTGCGGTTGCAGTCCCCAAGGACGGTTGGTTCAAAGAAACTGCCCCCAAGTGCATGCCGTTTGCCGCCTGCGATAACTTTTGCTCCCTGAACATCAACAGGAATTACTTAGCATCAACTAGAACTCAGCAATGCCAGCACCATACATATATTACTACGTTCACGAGCTCAGCTCAGTTGGTACAGCCATGCGATAGTTGCACAAAGCGCAACATTTTATTTCTGAGGAAAAAAAAGGTGTATTCTCCATGACAGCAAAGCCTGTTACATCTTAAAGTTCACTCTTGTGATTTGCATGGAAATACTACAGAGTAGTACAGACCCGGATTTCACTCCTGATGACCTGGATGAATGGAATTATGGAAATGAGAAATAAAATTTGAAATCGCCCTTTTTCCAAAACAGGAAAAGAAACGAAACAAGTTCAGCAGTGTCACCCTTTCAGTTTCCAGTTTCCAAATGGCAAAAAAAACATGCGCGGGCAACAACAAAATCGGGTGCGGAGTTTGAAAAGGGCGCTATCTGTAAAAATGGCTGTGGCCCCAAAAGAAAAAAGTTGTTGGTGCTTCAGGGGACTTGAAGAAATGCTCGGAAAAGATTAGGAGTTTATGTTTCTGGAAAATAAAAACTACAGTCAAGGGTTTAGGGTTTAGGGTTTGGACAGAATTAGGGCAAACAGGGTTCAGAATAGCAGAGTTTTCATGAGGCTCACAACGGGGAATTAACAGTTTAGACAAAGTTCGCAGATTTGGGCAGCTTCTAGGACCTTTCTCGCTAGTCATGCTTTATACGACAGGTTTTCGCAGTAGACCTGAGAGGAACGGATGAAGCAGGACTGGTCCAAGTTGGTTATATAACTTATATTCGCACACTCACCAGCACATAAAACTGAAGTCAAGGGCATGGAAAACTCAACAGCATAGAAAACTAAAGTCAACAGCAAAGAAATTAAGGCATAGAAAACTAAAGAAATTTTGCAGCAGACCTGAGAGGAAAGGGTATAGCAGCGCAAGCTGACAGTCAATCCTCCACTATGTTGGAGCAATCAATGCCGGTCAGGGGTCCTTCGGCCGGACGGAAGGAAGCGTGGGTGAGTACTTATGATGTATCCTGTTATTTTGACTTGCCAGAAAAAAAAAAAAAAAAAAAAGTTGTCCGTGCACTGCACCGCCCGAAGCGCTGTAATTGTGACATCCGTGCGGTACGGCAACGGTCGTGACGCTTTTGTTGCTCTTTTTTCTTTGAACCCCGCGTGTGAGTTTGTCACCCTTTTCAAAATCGTTTGTGATTTTGTTGCCCTTTTCAAACTCGTTTGTGCCACAACCAAACAGTCCAAACTTACCCCAACAGAAAAAGTCCCAACAGAAAAAGTTAACACCTAAGTAAATAATCCGGTAGTGTTGGCCATAGCCACTGTTGCCACTCGATGGGGGGTGGGGGAAGGAGATTGGAGGTCATGGGGGAAGTAGATTGGAGGCGCAGCTATGGCAAAATGCTTGGTCTCTGCATTAGCAGGCAGGCCGCCCTCACCAGCGACCCCACCCTACTCCCTTGCTACACCTATTAGGCCGGGGGGGGCAACATGTGTCCCCTTAATTGTGAGAGGTGGTTATTCTTGAAGGGGGCCTCACCCTACTCCCTGACCACCGCCTATTAGGACGGGCAAAACATGTATCCCCTTAATTGTGAGAGGTACCTATGCTTGCGAGGGTCCCCTGAATAGGCTTAGGATTAGCGGTACCTAGATAGTGCAAGCTCAAATTGAAAGAAGAATATTATAGCTTAGTTAAAAAAAAAAAAACCGGTAGTAAGACCTGCCATCTTCACGTCAATAGAACGCATTGTCATTATAGCCGAACTTGAGCCATCAGTCCAGATACAACAATAACGACCGTGCGTTCTATGAGGGTGAAATATGGTAGCGTCAAACCTGTACACCCGTAAGCAGTAACTCCTGGAATTCGTTAATTCAATCCCTTCTCACTCTAACAAACTCTGTCAGGACAGGCGGGCCCCTCGTCACAATTGCTTATTGCCCCCACCCCCACCCTCTCCTCGCCCCCCTCCCATTCCACCCCCCTGGGTGCACTTCAACGAGCTTCGCTTCACCACACATTGTCAAGGGATGGCGTATGGCCTCTGAGGATCGATAGACACACTTCGTCTAGCAAGCCTGCTGATTTAGTCTATCCACTCAAAGGCTTTTCTGCCGTGTTTCTCAGTAGTGTTTGTAAGAATTGCGAGTGTTCCAGCATATAGCCAGATTTTACAACCGCCCTACAGTTGACAGTTACTCCCGGCATTTACTGGGGCTTCCATTCGAAGTCGAAGCTTATGTAACTGATTACTGGGGCTTCCATTCGAAGTCGAAGCTTATGTAACTGATTTTACAACTGCCCTACAGTTAAGAGTTACTGCCGCCATTTGCTGGGGCTTCCATTCGAAGCTTATGTAACTGATTTCACAACTGCCCTACAGTTAAGAGTTCTTGCCGCCATTTACTGGGGCTTCCATTCGAAGCTTATGTCACTTCTCCTTTTCACCTTCCAGCACCGGGCAAAACTATAATAATTACAAACACCTTGTAATTGTGAGTAGTATAAACAAAGATAACTAGTAAAAGAAAAAGATACAAGTTCCCTATATGAAAAGGAATCAATGGAATAATGGCAAAGAGCTTTTGATGATCGATCTCTCAAAGCCAAAGCAATCTAATGTACTCGGAAAAAAGCAAAGGCCGTAGGCTCGCTAACCAGAGAAAGATTAATCACTACAATCTTTTGTAAACGAGTGGATGGTCCACCCAAACAATACAATTCGAGTGTACCATCTTCAAAATCATTTTGAAACAAACGGTCAATATTGGGAAGAAATGAGAATAAAATAATCCAAATTAATCCTAAATTAAAATGAAATGATAGCTTTTTTGGGACTCAATTGAGTGGTATTTTCATGGGAAATTTATTTATTGCTGTAGTATTTTTATGGAAAATAACTGCAGTTCCTTTTCATATGTGGGCACCTGATGTATACGAGGGTTCTCCTACTTTTGTCACAGCCCACTCCACCCCCCTGGGTGCACTTCAACGAGCTTCGCTTCACCGCACATTGTCAGGGGATGGATGCATGCGAAGACAGGAGCCAGTCCACACGACTTACCTTTGAGACAGCATCATTTACGAGTCGTTCCACCTGCAACAAAAAAAAACAAAAAAACAAAAAAACAATCAAGTTCAATCATCGTACCATCAAGGGATCAACAAAGGTGGGAAGTTGGGAACATATCGTCAGCACAGCAATGGTTGATATTTCACCATAATTATTAGTGTTGACGACCACACCATTATTTATAGAGGGCGCACATTCATTGATCGCTCCACCGACCCTGTCATCACAACTCCGGATGATTCCGTCAAAGAAAGAAATTATCGTACCCATTTTTTATTTTTTTTAAAATGTTCTCTTGACAAAGATGAGAGAGTTAAACAAGAAAACATTAAAAAAAAAAAAAAGCACGGAGTGAGCTCAGCTGCGTCAGGGCTGCAGGAGTTTCTGGCGAACATGTATAATTAATTGGATGGATGCATTCCAAAGACACCAAACGTTGACCTTCAGGACAACCGGCAAAAAAAAAAAAAAAAAAAAGGGCAAGAAAATTTGTGTGTAGTACTGTGTAGTGTACACATCACTGTTTCAAGACATATTCTTAAAATAGACTGAACGAGGTAAGATTGCCAAACTCGCTCCCGGCGACAGATAGTAGCACTCTCATAGTAGCACAGCAACTTCGACAAACAATATGACGTAATCATCAGATATCATCAAACCACATAAACCAAGAATAAACTGGTCACCATGCAACAGTGATTCTTGGTTGGCATGCAGACGAAACAAGACACCAGAGAATTAAGCCAAGAAGAAGAAGAAGAAGAAGAAGAAGAAGAAGAAGAAGAAGAAGAAGAAGAAGAAGAAGAAGAAGAAGAAGGAGATGCAGAATGTTAGCCATAGTTCACGGCACGAAGAAGAATTGAAACAGCCAAGGCCGATTGGTATGTGTCCATGTCTCAACGATGAGCAGCAGCAGCAGCAGCAGCAGCAAGAAGAAGGAGAAGGAGAAGGAGAAGAAGAACGAGAAGGAGAAAAAGAATGTTAGCCATACTTCACGGCAAGAAGAAGAAGGAGAAGGAGAAGGAGAAGGAGAAGAAGAATGTTGCCATAGTTCACGGCAAGAAAAAGAAGGAGAAGGAGAAGGAG